TGGGCACCAAGTTTCTCCTCACGATCTTATAAATGACCTATACCCTTTAGGGTGCGCTGTACTGTTTTGAAGGGCTCAAAACGCTATCTTCTCAACTGCGCTTTTTGGAGGGCCTCACTGGCTACAAACTTCGAAAATGTGTTAGCGGCTAGTGCGAGATATTTAAAATAGTCTTTTGCTTAGATAGAGCAGTGATGATGTTCAAGTCTCTCTTACTATAAAACCGTTTTCTTTGATGAACTACATTTTATGACAGCTCTGTTTACCTGGGAAGTCTGAAAGGCTGACCTTCAATCGTGGTTTAGTTTGCTGGTTACTTTTTCGTTATCTGGGACCCTTTGTATGAGTACAAGACGGATTTAGGGCCGCATGCATTGACATCCCCTCCAGGAAGGGGATTACACCTTGAGCACTTTTTATCCTGAAGTTCCAGACGCTGGATTTCGAGCTGTCTGCATATCCTTGAGTACCCCCGCCATCCTTCACCATAAATATATTGACCGGGAGCAAGAACTGTGCAAGCTGCATTTTCTAGCTTTTTGAAGATCCCTTGATGATCCTCGGCAGCCGATTGTCTTCTCTTCAGAGTCATTCTTTTTTCTTTAAAGTCAATGAAAAGTGCCAAAGTCTTATTGATTAACTACCAACAATGCTGAGCATGTTTCTGATAAAAATAAATACTTTAATGAGTCTTCAAATTTGGACCACAATTCGAAAGAAGGGATCCATCAAAAACTTCAATTTTCATTAACTCATTTGCTCTTATCAGAAACATGATTGGCACCTTTCGATTAGATCATCAGTACAACTTTGGATTGTTTTCATTGAATTCGAAAAAAGAAATGACTGAAGAAAAGACTATCACTCCGGGGTCATCAGGGGATCATAGAAGAAGCTTGAAAATGCGGATTGTGCAAATTCTCTCTCTATTCAATATGTTTATAGTGAAGCATAGTAGATATACTTACGGATAAGTAGACAGCGTGAAATCAGAATTCTGGAGCTCCAAGATATAAAGCTTACTTTGAAGCTGCAATCTCCTTCCTAGTGGGGATGTTAATGCATGCGCCCCTTGAAACCACTTTTTTCACTCTTCAAACTGTGCACAACATGCACCAAGAAGCCGCTACTAGTCATCTTTTCCTTTTTACTTTTATTTAAGAAACAACCACGAAATGAATTTCAAAAGTTGATAGTTTTCCTGATGGAAATGTAGCCAGAAGTTTTCCATGAAAACGAAGTCTTGGCTTTCAGCGCCATGAAGGCATTTCTCAAGAGGACCAAAAACAGGACAAAGGATATTTTGGTGCACTATATTCCATGTAATTTCACGTACGTTTTCAGCATTTTGACACAGTGTGCTGTGCGACTGTGATTGCATTATTTCAGTGGGGACGAAGTTGACGATGATGTCAAGGAAATTGCTGAAATTTTGAAAAATGACGTGAGACTGAGTGAAAAAACTAGTCTCGTGTCAAACACAATGAAAAAAGAGGAAGTAGCAGCAGCTTTCCATGTAAATCTCACAGACATTGGAAATATGGTTATTGACAAAGAGCAAAACATTGCTGAAGGAATTGAAGTCATAGGTTGGTTGATCTGTAAGCTCAGTTTAGCTTTGATAGAGAGGTCAATTGCGGAGAGTGCGCCCAGTATAAAAACTGCAGGAGTTATCACTTTTAATGACTTCTGCATCAAAATAGGGCCTGGATCAGGTGCCGCGCTAATCAGGTCAGCTAAATATCCTCCAGTTTGCAAAGGCAAGGTCATAG